CTTCAGTTTGGTACCGTTACCCTCCATGATGCACTCTCAACAGCAACTGACAGACACCAAGGTGCGCAGCCTCCCTCAGCGAAGGGCGTGGTACTGGTAGCTGGCACTGAGGGGTCTTGGTGAGGGCCTCAGGCAACTGCTCCAGCTCGGTGTGGAACTCCCCAGTACGGTCAGCACTCTGAGGCATGATGATTGTGTGCATGATGGTAGTAGTAGCAGTAGTACCAATAGGAATAGGAGGTAGAGGCCCATGATGGTGGCCGTGTTTGGAGAGGCAGTGTGACTGTCTGGATTCTCGAAATAATATCGGCGGAGTTGGGTTACTCTCCTCTCAAACGCTAAGTGCAGAGAAGGAAGGTATTCGACAGACAGAGTCGGTCAGAGAGGCAACTCTGAGTATTTCTGGCAGAAGTGTGGTATACAAAGAGAAAGGTAATGGTACGATGTAATACTTGTTAGTAGCCGTACCCAGTGTCCTACCTCCCAAATCCCCAACCTTCAGAGCATCAACAGCAGCAGCCTCCAAGGTCCCTCTAGCCCACTTCATAAACTCATCTGAGATATGCTTACTACCCTATTACTACTACTACCACTACCTTGGGTCTTTATCCCAAGTTGGTCTCGGGCCTTAACGATCTCGTCGGTAGGCGTGAACCCAAGGGCCAACATCGCTATCTAAGGCAGGATCCTTGAGGATAGCAGCAGAGCGAGGACCGAGTCGACTACCTCCGCTTTGTCTATGGCAACAGCAGCAGCCATACTGTAAAACTTTGTTGTCAACTCTACAATGTCAGCTGATTTAGACCCTCACTCGCCACAAAACTACGCGCGCGCCCGAGAGCATATTTGAATACGCGTGTGCAGGACGGAGATGCTATGTAGAAGGTAATTGGATCGTGATCAGTTTGATTGCCCCTCCAATGAAAGCTCGGATTAATCTACGACGGAAGAGTGTCGGCACGCCCATGGCCGCCACGCAAGCAGCTGTGCCTTCACTAGGTAGGTCCCCCTCTTCCTGATGGGTTGATGATGGGTCGTAGGTCCCAATGGTGGGT